GAGGTATTCAATAATTCTCCCCCATGGCCCTTTTATGACTATGTACACCACTGATGGGATCATTTAAACATTAAAAAGGAAAATTAATAGTTGGAGATACTATACAACTACAAGGCAATGCTATTAATATACACGGATATACTTTCCTAAAATTGCTTGTATAAGATGAGATCTTTGCTAGTCCTGAATTTGCTAATTATTATCTGGTGGACTCCAACAACCCCAATACTTCACTGTCAGTGTCATGTCTAACAAAAGAGCCAAGGAATAAAAGTATGAAGATTTGTGGACTATGGCATCCCTAGCATCCCTGCAATGTAGCTAGCTCTTGCTGGACATACAAAACACTATCTGGTGGTGGACAAAGGGCAAGCATCACACATTTACACATGGGAGACATGACAAGCTAAGATACATCACATATTTTATTGTCCTCTATCCAACTATATTGTGCAAAGGAGAATCCACACAGGGGGCTATTACACTCATGGGGGCCCCAAATACAGTATGTTTTTGCTTGTAGAGTGGATTGTTGTTCCCTCAAAACCGCTGTGAATTTTAGAGGACATTTGAGATGCCAATACTGCTGATAAAGTAAAGGAAAAAAAACAAAAAGACAATGTGTGCTATCAAATAATACAAATACCCACTGAGCTGCTGAAATAACACTCATAAGTGATCCCACATTCAAAATAAACAAATCTGAAAGCAGTGTTGCGCTCGCTCATAAACATAATAATTATATAAACATAGAAATAAGCAAAAAAAGTCCTTGTAAATTCTGACAGTTCAATCAAATATTGTGCTTGGTTAAATGTGTTTGATATAAAATGTGCTCCAAAAGACTTGTGCTCCAAAAAACTTCATGTTCCACTGTGAAACCTGTGCACCTCCACCTATGGATAAGAATGGCCACTCACCTCATAACATGGACCTATCAACTAATATAGGTCAACCAAGCATAATGATTCCATCAAAGAGGCTCCAGATGGCAGCAAAAAGCTCATACAAGCACCACCATAAATGACAAAATATCCGAATTACAGCTTAAACTCCACATGTAAGGAAGAGAGAGACAGATCCCACAGTATAATACCGTTTTATTCTCTTAAAACCATATAGGGAATACCACTCACATTATACAGATAAGTCACACGCATAGAGAAATTCCAGTTCGCCCATGTGACTGAGAATGATGTCACTAAGCTCCGCCCCATGTGTTACGCCACCAACCACGTGGCTTTGTCATTGCTGATTGATTATGCTTTACAACATTAACTATTGCAGGTGGTCATTCCATCTGTTTGGAAACTGGACAAGGCCACTGTGCTCAAAAAAAGGAAGATTAAGCTCACTAACTACAGTGGGGAAAATAATTATTTGATCCCCTGCAAATTTTGTGAGTTTGCCCACTTACAAAGAAATGAAGGGTCTATAATTTTTACCATAGGTTTATTTTAAATGATAGAGACAGAATATCAACAAAAATCCAGAAAAAATACGATACAAAATGTATAAATTGTGTTGCAGTTCATTGAGTAAAATAAGTATCTGATCCCCAAGCAAAACATGACTTAGCACTTGGTGGAGAAACCCTTGTTGGCAATCACAGAGGTAAGATGTTTCTTCTCTGGTAGTTGGTTACCAGGTTTGCACACATCTCAGGAGGGATTTTGGTCCGCTCTTCTTTACAGATTTCTAAATCCTTAAGGTTTCTTGGCTGTCGCTTGGCAACTCAATGTTTAAGCCCCTCCATAAATTTTCTATGGGATTAAGTTCTGGAGACTGGCTAGGCCACCCATGACCGTAATGTGCTTCTTCTTGAGCCACTGCTTGCTGCCTTGGCGGTATGTTTTGGGTCATTGTCATGCTGGAAGACCCATCCACAACCCATCTTCAGTGTTCTGGCTGAGGGAAGAAAGTTCTCATCCAAGATTTTACAATACATAGCCCCGTTCATTGGCCCCTCAACGTGGCAAAGTCAGCCTGTACCTTTTAGCAGTGAAACAGCCCTGAAGCATAATATTTCCACCTAAATGCTTGACTGTAGGGATGGTGTTCTTAGGGTCATAGTTAGCATTTTTCTTCCTCCTAACATGGCGAGTTATGTTAATGCCAAAGAGATTTAATTTTGGTCTCATCTGACCGCAGTACTTTTTCCCGTTCCTTCTCTGAATTATTTAGAAGTCCATTGGCAAACTTCAGATGGGCCTGTACATGTGGCTTCTTGAGGAGATGGACCTTGCGGGTGCTGCAGGATTTCCATCCATGATGGTGTATGGTTTGTTTGGTCCCAACTGCCTTGAGATCATTCACAAGCTCCTCCCATGTAGTTCTGGGCTGATTCCTCACTTTTCTCATGATCATTCTTACCCCATGAGGTAAATCTTGCATGGAGCTCCAGACCAAGGGCGATTGATAGTTATTTTGTACAGTAGTTCTTCCATTTGTGAATAATCACTTCCAACAGTTGTCTCCTTCTCACCCAGCTTCTTCTGATGGTCTTATAGCCCATTTCAGCCATGTGCAGGTCTACAATCTTGTCCATGACGTCCTTTGACAGCTCTTTGGTCTTGCCCATGGTGGTGCCCAAAAAAGAGATTCTGTGGACAGGTGTCTCTTATAAACATAACGAGTTGTCGTTAGGAGCACCTTCTTAAATTGACAGGACTGTGTACCACATGAACACATAGCCAGTCTGTGAGAGCCAGAATTATTGCTGGTTGATAGGGATCAAATACTTATTTTACTCACTGAACTGTAACTCAATTTATAGCATTTGTATCATGTGTTTTTCTGGATTTTTGGTTGATATTCTGTCTCTATCATTTAAAATACACCTATGATAAAAATTATAGACCCTTCATTTCTTTGTAAGTGGGCAAACTTACAAAATCTGCAGGGGATCAAACAATTATTTTCTCCACTGTAGATCCACTGGTTTTCTTTCCAGAATATTCCAAAAATAAAAGTACCTTTACACCAATGCTAAATATGGATATTTGACTTAAAGTGGGACTTTTTGTCAGGAGCACCTAATGTTCCTGATCTATAACAGCTGCTGGTCTTTTTCCAGCATCATGGTTTTGTCTATGATGCATTCTCCCTGTCTGTCTGTCCACCTGCAAGGTGATTGATGTGGCCAGTCTCTAAGCTGACCCAAACCTGATTTAAGCCAGCCAAGTCTGCAGTCTCATCCTTGTGATAGCGCTGGTTGCACAGCCTCCCTGTTTGTCTGCCCTGCTGTGATAGTTTGGATTCCTTCGTTGATGACTTCAGGTTGAATATTGACTATTCTATGAACTCTGGCTGCCTTTTGACTATGGATCTGATTCTGACTATCCTGAACCTTGCCTGCCTTGTACCTGGACTGTCATTGAACCACTTTGCCTGTCTGCCAACTGCAAGTGCCTGTTTGTTGTGCCCAGTTCACGCCTGCTGCAGCAATGGTGCCAGGAACTATAGCATGTGTAAAAGTCTGGGGGCGACTGAGTACTGGTAGGTCTGTTTGCCTTTAGGAAAAGGGAGATTCTATAGGTGAAGAACACAGAAGCTAGTTATAGAGTCTGACCACCTGTGTAAGGGGTAAGAGTGACACTTTAGTTTGAAAATTAAGTCCTGATAGACCACTTCAGGCTGGCCCTTTTACATGTATAGCTATGCAAAACATAAATGCCTAAAATGCCTTAAAAATAAATGCCTATACTATATAATAAATGCCTATATTATTTAAAGTCCAGTAATGCATTGTCTCAGCCATGCTCTGTACATGTTCTATTGCTATCTATTCTTAATGTTGTGCCTAGAATCAAAACCACTAGAGGCTGGTCAGCTGTAAATGTACATATTTTAATTGTAGAAAGTAACATACAGAATAGTTTTTAAGATCAAGGAGAGGAAAAGAGTTTCCAATACGGAAGTGACTGCTCAGGGCTTCAACAAAATGGCAACCTCCAGCAAGAAAAAAACAGGAGCAATGCTGTAGGCAATTTTCTACACACTAATTTTGGTAGCATAATTAATAATGTGGAATGTATACTCTGTTTTAAAGAACATTCATTGTTATCAAACTGTTATGGGCAAGGTTTTGCTTTAAAATATTTTTAATTAAAAAAAAAAAAAAAAATATCAGGAAGGTAAAGTACACCAGCAACAACCATTTTAACCATAACCTCTTCATGACTGAGGGTAAAACAAATCCTGAACACAATGTTCCAACTTTAACATATGTTAATAAACTGTACATATCATCACAACTACTTTGTGTATCCAGGTGGATTATACCTTGTCATTTTTCAGGACCCTGACATTTTTTTTTATTATCGAAAGAAAACTGACCCAAAATAATACCCCCCCCCCCCCCGAAAAAAAAAAATTATATTTTTAATGTAGTTCCATATTTCCTACTATTACCATAACTTACCACCAAAGAACATCCCAAAATAAATTCTACTGATCCTGACAATCACAGCGATACCATGTGTATGTTACTTTTTGTTTGCACCTGTAGTAGGGCCCAGAAACAATAGTGGGCATTTTGCTACCTAAAACACACTGACACTGATACTAATTTAAAACTGTTTTTTTTTAAACCTACTTGAAATATTGACCCTGACCTTTGACTCTAGCCTTGACCTTTGACCCTAACACTAACCCTAGCACTCACCTGAATCAAACCTTGACCTTTTTTTTTTCTTTAAATTATTTTTTTACACACCTTTGTGTGTTTACATTTTTCTCCCCTAGCAGGGAGAGAAAGATGCAATGTATCTTCTCTCCATTTAGAGGAGAAAAAAAACACAGGAGCAGACTGCTCAGTGACTGATCACTGTGACAGCCAATCAGAGGCTATCACAGGGATTAGGTGATCAAGAACCCATCACTGATTTCAGTGAGAAGAATTGTACCCCATCGTTGGTGTAAGTGAAAGGAACTGTGCCCCTTTGTTGGTGTCAGTGGGAGGAATCGTGCTTTCATTGTTGATATTACTGAGTAGAATACAGGGGCGGACTGACCATTTGGAAACTCAGGCACTGCCCGAGGGCCCGGGGTCAGTAGGGGGCCCCATGAGATGCCCCTGGTACCTTTTTCATAGGCTTTTTTGAGTTTGGGCAAGGACACAGGGGCCCCATGATCCCCTATTGCCCGGGGGCCCCATGAGTTGTCAGTCCGCCCCTTGGTAGAATAGTGTCTCACAGTTTGTCAGTGGACGGAATAGTGCCTCAAAAGCTAGAAAAAGGGCAGGCAAAGTGCTTCATCCGGCCCATGGACCATAGTCTGAAGACCACTGCTCCTAACCATTAAATGTTTCATAACATTCAAGTGAGAATGACGAGGTGCTCCTCAGTACACATCCAAGAATTTACAGTTTGGCTTATTAAACAGATATAACAAAATGCTTTCACTAGTATATTTAACAGACCAAGATGGAGAAAATAAGTTCACCGTTAGGGTTTGCATATGCTTTAGGCAATTAGAGACAGGAAATACTGTAAGTTATTTAAGCTTGAGTCATCCTTGACATCAGTTTTAATTAAACAAGATCCAAGTCCTGACTCAACAACTAATAATTCGTAATAAGAAGCTGTTAAAATGGTTCATTATAACAACACTTTTACTTACTTTCCTTTGAATGGACAATGAGAAGATCTTCTTAACTTGGCACCCCAATTATAAAGCTGATTTATTAAAGCAACAAAAACTGCAGTAATAATGAGTAAAAAGCAGAAACTTACAATAACCAAATTTAATTTTTTTAAAAGATGCTTTTCATGAATTTTGCAAATGTAAAAAACAATGGAACATTGCATTAAAAACCAGTGAGGTTACATATGTTGGGAAAGCCCAGCATCATTTCCAAAAAAAAGTGACATCTGACCAGTGTCTACATGCATGTGTGCATTTCCAGAAGGGACGATCAAATTCAGCTTGAGAGCTCTTAAAAAAGAACAGAGTGGGCTTAAAGGGCGACTCCACATTCATGGAAAAAAATTTAGCCAATAAAAAAATAGCATATACAGTACAACTGCTACACAAGTCATATTCAGGGGCGGACTGACCATTTGGAAGCTTGGGCACTGCTCGAGGGCCCGGGGTCAGTAGGGGACCCCATGAGATGCCCCTGGTACTTTTTTCATAGGCTTTTTTGAGTTTGGGCAAGGACACAGGGGCCCATGATCCTCTATTGCCCGGGGGCCCCATGAGTTGTCAGTCCGCCCCTGGTCATATTGCAATGTAATCTGAAAAATTACCTTTCCATTTCAATCTGCAGCAACAGTCTACAAAACAGTCCCAAAAATGTAATTTCCTGCTTGTGTGATTGACTCACGGATTTCCCCAGAAGTCTTCACTAAGATACAAGTCAGATTTTAGGTGATCCCTGCAATAAGAATTTCACTTTTGGTGAGATATTCCCCAGGGGTTAAAGTGATTCTAAAGGCTTGTTTTTTTTTTTAAGTAACAAACATGTCTATACTTACCTGCTGTGTGCAGTGGTTTTGCACAGAGCAGCCTGGATCCTCCTCTTCTCGTGTCCCCTGTAGGCTCTCCTGGCCCCTCCTTCCTGTCGGGTGCCCCCACCGCATGCAGCTTGCTCTGGGGCACCCACTGCTCCATGTATCCATTCACACAGAGAGCCGCAGCTCAGTCCCTCCCCCTTCTCATTGGCTCACTGGCTGTGATTGACAGCAGTGGGAGCCATTGGCTCCCACTTGTGTCTCAGTCAATGAGAAGAGGGAGTCCTGGGATAGCCTAGACTCCAGTGCACATCACTGGATCGAGAGGGGATTTAGGTGAATATTGAGGGGCTGGGGGGGAAGTTGCACACAAAAGGTTTTTTACCTCCATGCATAGAATGCATGAACGTAAAAAAACCTTGAGCCTTTAAAACTAGTGTTTCTAAAGGGATGCAGACACTGTAACTTTTGTTTTTAAAACACTGATAGTGCACCAGCTAAATGTAGTAAAGCAGACCCTCCCATTCAGGATCACTCTGCAAAGGACATGTTAAAACAATCAGCTATCTCTTCAAAGTAGAGACAGGTAGGGACCATCCCCAAAGTGTTCCCACAAAGTTGGGAGCATGAAATTGTCCAAAATGTCTTGGTATGCTGACACCTTGAGAGTTCCCTTTACTGGAACTAGGGGGCCAAGCCCAACTCCTGAAAAACAACCCCACACCATAATCCCCCCTCCACCAAACTTTACACTTAGCATAATTCAGTCAGGCAAGTACCGTTCTCCTGGCAACCGCCAAACCCAGACATGTCCATTGGATTGCCAGAGAGAGAAGAATGATTGGTAACTCCAGAGAACATGTTTCCACTGCTCTAGAGTCCAGTGGTGGCGTGCTTTACACCACTGCATCCGACGCTTTACATTGCACTTGGTGATGTAAGGCTTGGATGCAGCTGCTCGGCCATGGAAACCCATCCATGAAGCTCTCTACACACTGTTGTGCTAATCTGAAGGCCACATGAAGTTTGGAGGTCTTTAGCTATTGACTCTGCAGATGGTTGGTGACTTCTGCGCACTATGCGCTGACCCCGCTCTGTCATTTTACATGGCCTACCACTTGGTGGCTGAGTTACTGTTGTTCCCAGTTGCTTCTACATTGTTATAATACCACTAACAATTTACCGTGGAATATTTAGTAGCAAGAAAATTTCACAGATTGACTTATTACACAGGTGGCAACCTATCATGGTACCATGCTTGAATTTTCTGTGCTCCTGAGAGCGACCCATTCTTTCACAAATATTTGTAGAAGCAGTCTGCATGCCTAGGTGCTTGATATTTTACACCTGTGGCCATGGAGGTGATTGGAACACCTGGATCCAATGATTTGGAGGGGTGTCCCAATACTTTTGGCAATATAGTGTATATAAATACTGTAGTGTGCATTATCTGGGGACTCTTAAACCTTAAGGTTTAACTCCAGTCTTTTTTGTTTTTGGGAGTGGGGGTTGATATTGTGGTCAAGAGTTAAAATCTTAGTTTCTGTGACCCCTTGGGGAAGTTTTCACTCACTTTCTGTCCTTGTGACACTTACGCATTTCAAGGACAACCCTCGTCCTCAGAGCAGCAGTAGGCTGTGAGGAAGAGGGTTGCTTTGAAACACATAAGCCATTTCTTGGTTCCTAGATGACCCTTTTCTGGCATCTGAGGTCCACCGGGTCTTATCATTCATTGTACCAAGAGACTGCAACCTGATATGAGATCTTTTATATATTGTTTGTGAGTAGGATTTTATCTTTATTTCAATAAATTTACCTTGGGATAATGCACTATGCTGGTGCGCTCTCTGTCTTTTTACAGTCGTTATCTGGACCTCCCCAGTCGTTTGAGAGCAGCAAGGCTTTACATATCCATTGGTTTATCCCTTAACACTCACATAGGAGTACTGTCCTGGGTCCTCCACTCTCATGTGCAGGTGAATCTGACATTTCTTCCCAGCAGAGACAGAGACAGCAATGAAAGCCTGACAAATGGTCTAATCCAAAATAAAATGTAAAAAGCTCTGACTGGAGTTATGTCTACATTTCCAAAGGGCTGCAGCAGATGCTCCATTTGGTAAGTGTGACCCTCATTGTGCTCCTATAAAGTCTACTCAGTCAACACGCCTAGTTCACATGGAGAACAGAACAACAAATTCGGATGAATCATGGAAGCACCTATTTTCTGGTTGCAGAGTCCAGGTTACCAGGTTCAGACCTTTTAAAGTGTATGTATAGCCCAGACATATTGTTTTGGATTGAAAAGGGAATAACCCTACCCCACATCAATTTTTTTTTTTTGCGGTCTGTGTGCTTCACTTCCTGTCCCAAGATGCAACAGGAAATCTCCAAAAGTGAAGGGTATTTCCCTCTTATATAGTTGTCACTGTAACAAGAGTCACCATTGAAAAATTTACCATTGCCTCCTGCTTTGGTGGCAACTCTAAACTTCTTTATTCCCCTTCATTTCTTTCGTGATGACATTGGGTACCAGTACTAATAGAGGCGTGAATCTCTCTTAACAGGACACATACGGTAATAAAAAAATAATAATAATCAACTGAGGTTTTAACCCTTCCCTACTCTACTCCAGAACCAAAAAATTAAGTTTTTTACATATATTTTAAGAGAAGATATGCTGAAGAGTAGTGACAACAGGGAACAAATATGAACCTTCTGTACACAGATCTGTCAGCTAATTGTACACAGACACCATTAAAGGTTTTATATTATTAAACCAGCAGTTGTCTTTTTTTCTAAAATGTACGTTGACATTATAGATGTTCATAAGATCTCTAAAATATTGTTTCCTTGTATTTAGTAATTTAAGCTAATACAGTGCTGCTATGTGATAAAAATGAATTTTACATCTAACAAATGTTAAAACAAACAAGGCCAACTGGTTATTTCATTTTGTATGGAGTAAAAAAAAAAAAAAATCTGCCTTGGAACAATACACTGTCAGTTTGTAGACCAAGTTATGTAGTGAAGCTGCATTTTCACAATAGGCCATTGTAGCTAACAAAACAGTCACCCAAGCATTTAAAGACCTTACATTGTAACAGCATCATGGTAAATATTCATGAGAGCTTCGGGCTGGTTTGATTATAGCATTTATCGAAAGTGTAGAATGCCGCATTTCCACAAATAAAACAAGGTGTGTTTTGGTAAGATTTGGAAAAGAACACCCATTTTCCATCGGGGATCTGATTAGAGTTCACTTTTCATCCTTACGAGAGGCCGCAAATGTGCTCTTCTTCTACCTAAACAGATAATAAGCACTCGCCCCACTACCCCTTCTTGACTCAACACACTGAGACTAATCGCAGATAATTGAGGAGGAGGAGCTGAGAGCCGGGTGAGCTTTTGTGTCCACAGGACAAATGGTCAGTTCATGAGGCTTTTGTCTGAGCCAGTCATTTCTTGTAGCTGTCCAAGAAGAAAACACACTAGCGGAAAAGGGAATTAAAAAAAAAAAAAATCACTACAAAACTGAAGAGCATAATGTGCTTTTAGCCAAACGTTACCACCACCAGGAAATGCAAAATGTTATGTTTAATATGTGTGTGTATATATATATATATTTACATACACACACATATACAGTATATACTCATTTATTCTCCCTTTTTATTGCCATAGTATGCCCTCATTTTTTACACAAAAAATATATATATATATCATTTTAATGAGATAAAAGTTACACATTATTTACATGTTCCATTATTCTGTGAATTCTTTAGATAACTGGTGCTGTTTCTGCACTTTGGCTGTACCACTTCTTTTGTGGCTAATAGGGAGTGTTTTGGGTGAGATTACCAATTTTGACACAATTTTTCTTTTTCTTTATTTAGGCATGTTTTGGAAGGGTGTATTCATTGTAGTTTGGTTTATTTCCTCTAGTGTTGTTTCTTTTGTGTGTTTTATAATTATTTTCTTTGAATATTTTATAAATTTTTTTTGCCACATCTTTTTTTTTTTCTTTTTTAAAAACAATAAATATTATAGCACCATTTCCTGACCCCAGAACAGGTTCAATGCAGCCATTTACAGCCCATTACGCCCTTGAAAACACCTTGGTTTCACATTCTCCATTGACTTCATTGCAATTCACCAAAATGGCAAAAATTCACCAAAATCTCCATATTTTTGTTGAAATTTGAGGGAAATGAAACCTCTCAGTTTCACTCTCATTCATCTCCAGTAAGTTATCTGAACCTTAGCAAGATGTACAGAGATATGGATGTATATACTTTTAAGGTACCCACTTGACATAACTATCATAAAAATGTCCAAAGTTTCCAAATTATGTTCTAAATATAATTGCTGTTTTTATAAAGTTTTGAGTTAAGTGGGTGCCTTAAACGTCCGTATGTATCTCTGCACATATAACTGACTTTGGATGTGGTTCTATACGTAAGTCCATCTTTCTTTATTTGGTATTCGAACCTCAGTAAAAAAAAAATGGAGTTCTACAAGAAGTAAGTGCACAGACACACCTGCACATATTGTAAATAGTTGCACTTTTATTAAGAGTTTATTGTTGGTTGATGTGAAATAGTAAATTTTTACACTGGATAGAAACATGTGAGTGCAGAATTAAATACAAAACGTACAAAACCATGTTCAAACAAAGGTAAATGTCAAATTAATTAATACATGGGGTATGAAGACATTGGTAGGTTACACGTTGTTATTGAAGATCAG